CTTCCTTCCTTCCTTCTTTCCTTCCTTCCTTGTCTTGGGTATATCAATATGCATAGCCATTCTTTAAAAATATAAGGTTCAATTTGATGAAAAATTCAATTTCAAAGCCAGTGAAACTATCTGCTATAGCCTGAATGTTTATATGCCCCCAAAATTCATATGTTGAAACCTAGCACTTGATGTAATGGCATTGGCAGGGGCGTGGGGGACGGCTTTGGAACGTGATTAGGTCGTGAGGGTGGGGCCCTCACGAATTGGATTGGTGCCTTTAAATGAGACCCCAGAGAGCTCTCGTGCTCCTTCTGCCACATGAGGACACAGAGAGAAGACAGCCGCCTGTGGACCAGGAAACAGCCTTTCTAAGATACAGACTGGGCTTCCCAGTCTTTGGAATTGTGAGAAATAAATTTCGTTGTTTATAAGCCATGCAGGCTATGTAGTTTATTATAGCAGCCTGAAGAGACTAAGACACTATTTAAAAGACACTGCCAGTCATGATGTAATCATTTTGCTAACTATGTAAGTTTATCCTTTTATTTTAGTAAGTAACAATATTAGAAGCATCCAAAAAGAATTTTAGCATGGGGCTTACAGCCCACAGAAAATTCAAGTGACTATCATACACCTTTTTACTTTCTCATAACTTTCGCCCATTTTCCGCTTTCCCACTAAATTAGAATGCTCACAAGGTAGAATATGCCCAACGCGTGGACCCACCTTTTCGCCGTTCTCGTTCTTTCAAAATAGCTTCAAACCATTCGTGTTTCTCTTCGGGTGTTTTTGCCATACACACAAACCATTTATTTTTTGCTGTGTTATGTATCTTCCATCCATTAACAACAATGTGTCCGCTGCTATGGAAGTCAGCTAGAAATTAACGGGCAAAGGTAAACGAATCAATGTTATACATATCAATGCAATCATTCAATTCATGAACGTTCCAAATCCATTAAATTCTTCAAAATATCTTGGCTTTATGTGTGTGTGTGTGTATGTGTGTGAAAGAACATAAAAATTTAAAAATTGTATAAATGTTTATATATTGAATGCAATCAGTGCTCAATAATAGAACGTTTCTAACTCTTAACATTCATGTATTAGTGAAATTGAACTCCCAAACTAATTAACATTCCTTTCCTCTATGTCCAAAAATACTGTTAAAGTTCCTAAAGTAATAAAAGAACTTTGGAGTAATTTTCATATCAATAATCAAGTATTCATGGTGTCAAATTCATTTTGCCTTTCTAATATTCTTTTGAAATATTATTCTAGGTTTCAAAGATCGACTATACTCCCACAGAACAATTTTTGATTACTGAATGAACCACATAATAAGATTCAGACCAAGTGATTGGAACAAAATGGGAGTGCATTTACCTAACCTGTAACAAATGGAAATGTACAAACACCCATCCGCTATCACTGCACATAGGTGAAAAGTACACACACTCTTTAAGGCCACATCATTACATATAACTGTCATGAGTAGAAACTCAAAAAAAAACTTCGAGTATGAATTCACATTTATTGTCTTTTCCTAGGTCTCAATAAAATTTTTTCTCAACTGTCATGCTGGATTTAAATATGTCAACAGAAAACCCTCCACGTTAGCTCTCTGCTTAACAGCTGGTGGAGAACAGCGATGTTACTTATAACCAGCCTTTACTGGCATGATGGTCTGCAAGGCAGATTCCAAGATGGGAAAACATGTGACAAAGGCCTGAATCGGCATCTGTACCAATCGAAGTGACACTTTTATTTGTCTTCCCTGAGAGTCACCATGCAGTAGGGGCGGGTAGACAGGAGCTAAGCCACATAGCGTTGAAGGTGGTTTAGAAAAATGACTTCATGGTATGGTACCTGTTTGTTTGTTTGTTTGTTCTCAAATGATCTACTTCATTTGGTAAGTTCTGAGTAGAGGCAGACATGGTTGCTGCTTATTCTCCCATAATCTGATTCCCATACGCTTTTTAGTTCCAAAATCATCATACACTATCTGTGATCAGACTCAACTATTTTAAGGATGCAGTATCAAACGATGCTGTGGAGTTGTAGGGTCTTTAAAAGTTCCATGTTCCATTTGAACAAGGATAGGATTATATTATATATTAGTCTGTATTCTATACACATATATATTTGTCTGTATTATATGTGTATATCCATAATCCCATTCACACTCAATAATAATTTCTGAAAATATAGAGATTCAAACTGACAGAGGATTTTCTCACTCATAAAGAAATTACAGTTTGTTTTCAAAAGGAAGTTTTGTACATTTCTTCTTGCCTTTACATTTTTAATTCACATTCATATCCTATACAAAGTAGCAGAACCTCAAAACTCATGTCAGATAAGTGTCAATGGAAACACTAAGGAAGTAAAAAGCATTAATTCAAAATATACCACAATCCCTCCTTAAGCCCTATAAAAATAGCCAATTGATACACTATAATAAATTGGTGGGGAAAAAAATTAAATTGTTCATGTTCACACACCCTCCTCCCCTACGCTGTCATATTACAAGGCCAGTATCACAAATAAATTAGTTTGTAAGACAGAATACAAATTATCTGGTGCTAATTTTTGAATGGATTTCCAAGCCTGTACTATGAAAATTACCATAAAAATTAATTCTAGGAAATTCAATAGCTTTCCTACTTAGCTCTTAAGCTGAATATTTGTTATAGCATCATGATCACACTAATATCCTCAGAAAGAATCTTTGAAGAAAAATTATGTTAGAATTCACTGAAATGACAGATCTAGAGAATGGTAGAATGGAAATGTGGCCACAAACTCAATAGCTACCATCTTTCTTAAACACAGGAAGTAATGAATAACATTAATATATTAAAATAAATGTGCAAATTTTTACATTTCTACATGTCATATCATCAATGAAATACTTCTCTTTCTATGCTGAGATATAACTATAATATAATCCAAGTTATTAAACATTATAAATAAAAGTATCATCATATTTAATTTTCAAAAGATTTGAGATAGTTACATATTGGCTAAAAGCTTAGTCTCATTTCAAATGCAATCATTTCTTCTGCAGGTTTTGAGCTACATCAATGCAATCGGTTGTCTAATGGAGTCCTTTACTTAGAAATGAAGAAGTATTTTACCTTTACCTGCCGTGTACAAAAATATCCAGTATTTCTATAATATAGTCGAATAGTCCTCCTCTCCCTTATTTCACCTTTTTCCTCTGACTGCTCTACCTAGCAAAGTATCTCTAAACTCTAATGCAGTGCACATGAATTACTCAAGTGAGAAGTACGTCTTCTGAGGGAGTTTCCTACCGGCATTTTATTTTAAATCTACGAATCACTTACCTGTTCCATCATCCACATTCTCCACTTCCATCACTTCTGTATTGATCCGGCCACGGAAAAGGTACCGATGTCCATCTGTAGATGCCTTGCTGTTCTTCAATCGTCTTATAATGGAGTGAAATCACAAAAGTATTAGTCCACTCAATGCAAAATAATGTCAAAGCAATATAATTTAAGCAAATCTTTGAAAAGGAGATATTGATTCAATCACTGATATCAAGGGTTAGGCTCCTGGTGTTTACTTGTGTCCTCCCATTCATAACAGCACTGGTTGCTTCATAAGATGTGACTTACATGCCAGCTTTTAAAGTAAACTGAAGCTCTGGGCTGAGGACATGATACAGGTAGGAAAGTAAATATGTGCTTTTGCTCAATATAGGACCTCAAAGGTGTCCAGTCAAACTGTGAGAGGCACTAATAGTTGGTTGAAATTCCATTTGATTTCTTTCACCCTCCTTTCTCATTTTTCAGTAACTAGCTGGTAATTCCCATTTTGCTTCAAGCCCTGGTAAAATTCAGGTAGTACTTACAATCCCTCTGCAAAGAAACTGACTGTGCTAGAGGTGCTTAAGCCTCATCTAGCTGAAATTATTTTTCCTATATGATATGATAACTGTATGCTTGTCGAATAAGTCTCTTAATACATTTACAATCCTTTGAAAAGGCCTTTTTTTAAACAGTTCCAAAATATTCCAAACCTTTATGTTTAGCACGTCTAATACCGACCTTTAATCTTTTTAAAAGTTTGTAACACAGAGTAAAAACATCCAGATTTACAGATGAACATTTGCAATAATAAATTAGGTAGTCATGTATGTTTGAAGTGGAATGACTGAACATTCAGAAGAGATCATTTTAAAAAACTGGGTATTTTAAATTAAATTAAAAAGGGAAAATTCTAAGGAATGACTCAGGAGGATTAAGGAATAACCACTCATTTAAGAGACTTCAATTGTCCTCAACTAGTCACTGACACAAGTCTAGCTAACAATTTAATATGCTGAAATAATTATTAATTTATTGCATAATACAGACACACGTAGCAAAAGCTAAGATGTAAAGGTACACCACCTTCGGGGCCCCCTCTGATCCCTCCTTTCCTTTGCAGTTAGATGCCTGCCCTGGAAGCAGGAGCGGAGGCAGGGCGGTGCAGGGAGGTGTCACAAGGTGCTGTCACACTCCCTGAGTTCCTTCTTTGGAAAAGAGTCCAAATTCCTGCTTTTTTGTCTAAACCTTCGTCAAAACTTTATAGTCATCGTTATTAAAGAAAACTATTTAAATTGATTAATTCATCAGATCGAGGGGCTCTACCCGCTGGCCTTCATGACCCTGCACTCCCATGCTCATTTTTGAAAGCAACCTCTAAATGTTCCTTGTTAATAGGCCTAAATAAATGCTATAAATTAGGGATTCAGGCTGGGTAGCTATAAAAGCTAGCGTCAGTGGAGGCCAAAGATAAAGAATGCAGAGTAGACTAATATGCAAGTAACTATATATTCTCTCAGGTAGGAAATCATATCATGGTGTCTTGCAAAAAAGTAATTTCTTATAAGTTGATACATCATACTTAAAATCTATCATATTTTTAAAAGCTTAATACTCTTGATAAGAGCTTTAGTCACAGGCCAATAATCGTGGCATGAATCCATCATGTGGTCCTATTTTTCAGTGTATTAATGTTCTTTGGGATCCTGCTGTGAACTCTGTATAGGCTTTCTATATTTCTCTTGACCTGCAGATAATAACACTCAATATGAAATTCTAGTAACTGTCTGATCAATATGGTAACACTTAGGTCTTTCTGAAGAGATCTTTGGTCTCTTCAGAAAAGGCTCTATTGATGGATAAAGATTGAAAAGCTTATGGTTTGAAAGTCATTTTACTCTGTATTGTAGTGTTGGGTATTCCCATATCTTGAGGCTATGATTTCCCTCCTAATTATATGTTTTAATGGTCACCAGGATACATGTACAGGAAATGTTCACAGTAACAGAAAAATTGGAAACAACCCCAAAGTCCACTGATAGGAGAATAATTACATTGTTATTAATTAAATTGTGATATATTCAACCAATGGAAAGCTATCCAGCAGTTAAGATGAATAAACTATTGCTAAAAACATGGACGTATAGTTTAGAAAGCATATTATATATAAAATATAAGTTGCAGATGACTAAATACACTGATATTATCTTGTAACACTCACAAACAAGGCAAACGAAGCAATACCATGTTATATATATATATCAAATACTCCCTAATACACTATTTTTTTTAAGTACTAGTTTCTCCTAAGATTAATAGCATTAGAAATAAGGAGTGCTGGGATGCCTAATTAGCACTTTCCCTTTAATGAATGTAATTCTAAAATTAAAATAAATTCATCAGGTCCCTGGTTCTTGTAATTACAGCATTATGAAAGTTTGGAAAAGCTCTATTTTACTCATAGTTTCTGAAGTATCATTGGGGCTTAGCCAGGACACAGTAAAGGAAATGAAGTATTCTAAAACGAAGGAAACAGATGGTGGATTCGCACTACTGCCATTCAGGAAGGGAACGGACATGCAGATTTATTGAGTGATTTCCATTTCTAATCACTACTTATTTTGTCCACATTATACACACACTAGGGATATCTGCTAAACCCTCAAGGTTTTAATTTTCTAAAACTTTTCTTACAGTTTAAATTATTTAAATATTGAGGCCATGAGACCATAAATGATATCATTTGTAAACTCCTCATTTTGCAAAAGCTTTGAAGGCAGGCGTATATGCATATCTAGATTATATATTTATATGAATGAGATTGGCTGTAATAAAAAAGTCTCATTCTCCAATGGATGCCTTTAACAATAGAATGTACAGATGTCAAATTATAATGTAAATCTGAAAATTATATAATTGTATTAACCAATGTTACCCCAATAAACTTAATAAAAAAAAAACAGTAGTAAAAAAATATAAGAGCTCTAAAATATCTATAAACAATAATAATAATCGCATCTAGATGGATGTGTTAATTAACTCAACGGGGGAAAACTGTTCACAAGGTATTATGTATATCAAATCATCATGTCGTACTCTTTAAATATCTTAAAATTTTATTTGTCAATTATATCTCAGTAAAACTGAAAAAAATAATTGCACCTAAACAACTTGATCACATTACAGTTTTTTAATGAGTTACATACAAGTAAAATTAATAGCCTCTACATCCTCCTAAACCCTATTTCTATTAATCCCAATCTTGCTATTGAATACAAAAAATTTAGAAGAGCATACTAGAAAAACTAAACAGGTTCATTTCCACGTGTGATAAAGAGCAAGGTTTTGAAAAGCTCATTAAGAGAGAAACAATTTAATTCTATTTTGGTTCTAATCCTAACCTGTCCCCTTTCATCAAGGTACATGGTACCATTTCACAGAAACTAATGTGTCCTAGGCACAGTTAGAAAGAGGCACATAAAGCTCAGGCAATTTCCCAATGAAGTACAACTTTACCATTTTACTTAATCAATCTGCAAAAAAATGTTCTCAAGAGTTCAGGAAAACATCTTATCAAATAAATACCTTTGAAGAAAAAATTATATCCATGCTTTAAAACGAATATTACATCAATAACATTAACACATAACATTATTTAAACTAATGGTGGTTAAGCTATACCAAGAACTTGCTTGGGTTTCACTCATTCTATAATTTACTTACTTGTTCAACAAATATTTCTTCCGTGTGTATTACATGGCAGGTCTGCTCCAGTCTGGGAAATAGCAGTGAAAAAGCAGCAAGACCCTTGTTCTCACGGACCTGACAACCTCATCTTATAAAGGTAGCAGAAAATAAGCAAAGAATGGAGGAAATACCAGCAAGCACTTTCCAGATATCACTAAAGGCTGGGAGGCTACCTTGGATAGGGTGGTCAGGGAAGATATTTCCGAGGAAGTGATATTGAAATAGATCTAAAAGGCATGAAGAATCCGACCAGGTCAAACTCAGACGGAAGAGCATACTAGGAAAAAGAAACAGCCAGGACAAAATGCAAGAAACAGAATTCTTGATTTCCTCTCCCAGTTTTCCTCCATCCACTTTTTTCCTCATTTCCAAAACCTGAGAGTTGACCTTGGTTCCTCACTTTCCCTCAACCTCTCACGTCCAGCCCACTAGAAAATCTCATTCGTTCTGCATTTAAAACATACAACAATCTCTCTACATCTCTCCATCTACCCTAATCCGATCCACCAGCATCTCCTCCTTGGGTGACAGTGGTTGTTTCTTAGCGGGTACCACATTCTCACGGCTCCACATTTATGCTCTATGCTTTTTACAAAAGAGAAGAAAGTGTTTTAAAAAGGAAGATGTGCTCCACTAAACTAAGTACTGCTGAGAAAACAAGCCAAACCCTGAAGAGCGGAAAAGTGACCGCTTAATTAGAAAACATAAAGGTCCCTGGTGACTTTGACGTGAGCAGCTTAGTGGAGCAGACTGGGATGCTTACAACTGAGATTTTGGTTTTTATAACTGTTAATGTTGACAAAGTAAAGGGATGACCATAGCACAAGTGGCTCAGGTGTAATGAAGGAGAATAACGTTGCAGGTGAAGACATGGCGGGCTTTGGGGTCCAAATATTAGATCATCCATGTGAGTTGTGAACACACCAAAAATGGTAACCGAAGGAGGTTGGGGAAAAAGTGATATGAGCTAAAGTAATCACAGAATTCATGTGCGGCGGGGAGATATGGAATAAACAGGGAAAGGACAGGAAGTTAGTCCTAAAGCAGTGAATTTCACATGTGCTGGGATTCTCACAGGAAGAGAAGGAAGTGGCTGGGACAAGGCAGTAGGAAACGAGAAGACACCCTTACCTGTCCTACAGGGTCGGAGGTAAATGGGTTAAGAACAACAATAACAAAGTTTTTCCTCCAGAAGATTCCTGGGAAAGTACTGTCATAGAATGACAGTCACATTTCAGTCAGGTTTCATAAGATGAAGAGAACAGTCATAGAACAGGCTGAGACTATGTGGAATTTTACTGATGAAATCGGGAGTTCCCGTGGCCACAGAGAAAAAGGTTAAAACTATGAGAATGAACAATTTCTGAGGTGTTACCTGTTTATCACCTTACCTGTGTTTTCTTTTGCAATACACCAGGAGATTATCGAAAAGGAAAAACACCCGCTCTTGAATATTTCCAGAAGAAATTTTCAGTAAGACTCCACACATTAGCATTTCAGTGCAGGTGTCAGTAATGTTGGACCCCTGAGTCAGGAAAAAGGGAGATGACATCTGATTACTTGAGAGAAACTTTCATGATAATCTTTCTTCTCAATAAGAGAATATTTGTGTTTATCTTAAGAGGCAATATATGGGCAGGATAGAAGTTCAAACAGTTCAAATATTTGTACACTGAACATAGGTTTTTTCAGTCTCCTCCTGGTCAGTCTCAGATGATACAACTACTGGCAAGAGATTCTGTGTGTCTTTCAGCTGTTTTATATATGTATGCGTCCATACACATCTATGATACACGTTACCTGTGTTCTTTGGTTTGAAATCCTCCCCTTATTAAAGAACACAGGTAACACGTGTTCTTTATTCCCTTCCTCCTCCTTCTCTTCCTTGGTAGGGAAAAAGAATTCGGTGGACACATGGAAAAGAATAAGAAATTGCCTCAATTTTTAGCAGGTCTCAGTTGATATATTTATACATACCCTAGGACAAAGAGGATGGGAAAAGAAGAAATAGAAGGGAAAAAACTATTTAAAGAGAACAATCTTCCATAGAGCTTTCACCCTAGTTATTAAAAGCTGGCGCACACTCATTCATCAAATGAGCCTTCACAGAGTGTCTGCTGAGGTCATACGATTAGAGACAAAACTGATTCTTAACCTTCGGAAGTCAAAAGGAGCCACAAGAAGGAGGGAGCCTGGACCCCTGAATCATCAGCAAAGGAAATCTGCTCCCTGAGGAGACCGCCCACATTGGATAGCTGCGTGAGCGAAGCACAAAAGTCTATTTTGAGCCACTATAAACATTTTACTCTATTTGTCTCTATAACCGAAACTATCATAATCCACTCGCTGTGTTCTGCAAGAATACTTCAGTTTTAAATGTATCTGGTCTCTTTAAATCTAGGAATAAATTTCTGATTCTTTTTAAATTTAATGCTTTAATTTTTATTTTTGATATTGAAAACTCAGGACATTAATTTTAAATTTCATACTTCCAACATAATGATTGACACTGTTTTTCTGATTCATTATAAAAATTTAAATTAAAATGACAACTCTTATGACTATAATAAGAAACTTCCTCACTTTCTCAAAGGGAAGTTAATTAAGATAGTGGTATTGTGTTAATTTGAGTATCTATAGTATGACACATTTTAAACTTTGGACATTTCCCTTCTCTCTTCATCATAAGGGTAGATATGTAAATAGTGTACTGATATATCACAGAGTCATAAACCAACATTTGAGAGGTGAGGTGTGAAAAATTATTTTTAAAGAATAAGAGGGTTTTGCATAAATCATTAATTTTGAACTGCTCTAAAACCATTACATATAATGTAATATTTACATATACATATTTAATGCAGATTCTTTTAAATAATGTTTTTATCCATATGATTCAGAGTCCTGCTGCCTTTTAGCAAGTCCTTAAATTATAACCAAAGTAATGTACTTTCATCATCTAGATGATTTTTTTAATGCACATTTCCCTTTAGGAAGCTACGTTTATTATGTAAAATCAGAGACTGTTTGCAACGAATTACACATATAGGATTAAATACAGTAAAACCACAGCTAGGAATTTACAAGTGTAGTTCTAATCCTGACTACTTTGATTAGATCGGGAAAGGAAAGCTGACTGACAGTTCAAGGTAAGAAGTAATCATAAATAAATAGCTGTGACCAGTGGTGGGAGATGTACTCATCCAGGCCCCTCTCATTCCAAAAGCTTCTCTCTTTCTACCCCAAGCTATGCAAACCTATCTTATTATTCCTCTGTCACCACCACCCCAGCAGCGCAAAAGGTGAAATTCTGAGGGAAGTCCGCCCTCAGAATTTCTGAGTATGTGTTCTTAGACAAAGGAAACAGTATCTGTGATTTAGAAATACTTTTTCAAAGACTGAATTTCTAAACACCACAGGGTGTTCAGTTTTAACAACGAGGAAGTGAAAAATCTCACATGGTACATTTGGGAACCACGAACCAGAACAGGATGCTAAAGAGGACTCGAGAACATTGAAGTAGCAGAATAATGAAACAAATACTGTCATCTAAATGGACACAGGTCTGAATCTGTCATTAACCAGAAGAGCCAAGAGTATCCAAAAGTAGTGAGAAGCCACTAACAATTAACATGTAACTACAATGTAATTATGTCTACCTTTTATTATCATTCAACCCACTATGTGTCACCGTCTTAGATGCTGGGGACCCAGAGCTTGAGACGTGACCCCTGCTCCTAAGAAACGCATACACTAGAGAAAGAATCAGATACGTGAACACAGAATTAAATGCAGTGTGATCATTGTAATAATAGAACTTTAGTAAAATGAGAGTTGCCATGAGTCAACAGTGACGAATATCAGGGATGCCTGTGTTTATAATTACATATGTTTAAAATTAATTACATAGCTCATTCCATGTTGTGGTTTCAGGTTTAAATCATTCTCTAGTAATTAACTTTCTTTGTCAAACTGATGAAGTACACCATTTAAATATCACCTTCCAATATGGTTAAGAGATCAGTCTGAGTGGATGGAACACACAGTGACTTCGGTCATAAAGACTGAGCCCGAGCAGCCTGTTTTGGTAATGCTCACCAACAGCTCTGCTTCTGGCGTGCCTCGTTTTACAAGACCCAGCAAGAAAATAAGAATTCAGAATCTAATTTGTTAAGTTGAATAATATTTGCATCTATATTTTGAAATATATAATCGCTGCCAATTATATGGTCAGCATACATGAAAAATTATTAAATTTCAAAGCATCATTACAGCATTTAATGTGAAATCATGATGAAATTCATGAGTAGACACTTGTTCAGTGCCAAGTATGGTTTCAGAAAATGACAATAGCCAGAAAAGGCAATCAGAAGCATGTGTATTATTATGGCTTCTTTTCTATTTTCCAACATTTTTTCAGACATTAAAATCATGACTTATGAAGAACTGCAGTAATAGAACAAATCTCCTCTCAATAAACTCAAGAAAAATCATGTTGCTAAACCATATCTGAACTGTTTGAAAGGGTAAATCTTTTTTATGTTAACAAGGTATCTCAATATAAGTTCTATAAGGGTTCATTACTAATTCTTTGCAGCTATGAGGTGGTAGAAATCCTTGTAATAGGAAACTATCCACTGATTATCTGACCCCATTATCAGCAATCACCGGGGTCTATCTCATTCATCTTGTCAACTGAATGTTGAATGTCGAATTCAGAAAAACACAAACTGACTACAGAGAGGAAACCTCAATCTCAGGGAAGATGGAAGATGACACGAGGCCTTGAAACTTCCCCACTCACATGCAATAATGCATCCACCAAGATCTAGCAGAGCTGGACCCATTCGCAGTGGAAGGAGGGAACTCACAAGAATGTCAAGGAGATAGGGTGTTTCGTAAGGGCACAGTTTCAACACTGATGGAGTCTCTTGAGAAAATTAATGAATGATTTAAACATTCTTTCAAAAAAATCTTTTAAAAATACTATGAAAGTCAAATGTGAAATGAAGAATATCACATCGTTTTGATACAATTTTGTCATAAAATGTATGCCCTCTCCAAAAAAAAGCCTCAGCATCTGATTCACTCTTTTTGAGATTCAAATTATTAACTGAAAGTATAACCTAAATTCTGTTATAGATTAGATAAAACAAACTAATAATACAAATTTTCATTTTACCGAGATAATGTCCCAATTGAACTTGCCCCCACTCCCACTTATTATGAAATTCAGGTCCCTCTTTTAAGTGGATTCACTTTCAATGGCCTTTTCCCGAACCACAGATCCTTAAATAACAAGGGTTATACATAAATCAATTCCACCTCAAGGTAGTAGACATATTGTATCTGCCAGATCACCTTGCACAGAAGACAAAAAGAAACAGGTCTCACCATAACCTCTGCAAGACTCACACTCATGACATAACAAGGGAACACGACTTGAAGTCAATACACTGTCAGACACAAATTTCATCAAATGGCAAGCAGCAAACAGACTCCAAAAGCAGCAAGGGGTGATTTTTTTTAAATGGTCTTGTAGCATTGTATTTCTCCACGTAAAAATGTAATCAGGAAGTGTCAAACTTCAATTGTTTCTTTTTACTTCCTAAAATGCAATATTGCTTTGAATCTTATTTTTATCCCAACACCTTTATATATTAATAATTCCCCCTCTTATCTTTTATTGTGATTTTTTCCCCTTGATTTAAGAGATCAATCCCAAACAGGCCTATCGAGGACATGAAGCTGAATTACTAAGTGACATGTTTATTGAAACTCTCTTGTCAAAATCTTTCAGTATGACTCCAAAGATAACCAACCAGAAAACAGACCAAATGGTCCTTCTACGAAATGAATCAATGACTCTAATTAAACAGCTAATAAACTTCATTTCCAAGCACATTGATCGTTGCTGTATAATTACCTTCAGTAGAATATCTTGTGGAATATTCAGAATGTTGGATAAGATATATGACTGAGATACAATACATTATATTAATAAAAGGTAGAATTTCAAATATGAGCAATTAAAACAAACTATAGATTTTCTGTGGTGACAGTCACTATGTAAACGCTGACAAAGAACTAATTTGTATAACAGGCAAGTTGCCTGAGAGATTTCACTGTAAAAAGCCTTCATTTGGTAGATGGGAAAATAAGACCGTAGCTAATTAAGTAACTTACATGAAATAAAAATCAACCTATAGTGAAAATGATACAGATCCATGGTGCATCCGACTCAGATGCCATTCAGGGGAAGGTCAGATACTGAAGCAGGAGTGTCATGTCTGAGGCGGAGCTCACAGGTCTGCGGGAGCTCGCGGAAGGAGCCAGATGGGGAGCCCCACAGCCCCTAACCCCCAAAAACTCCGTAAGGAGTTCTGCTCGGTAACGGGTCAGGCCATCTGACATCTGTCTGTGGCCCTGTCCTAACCTCAGGAAAACGACTGGAAACATACACAAAGCTGTCTGTAAACTAAGCCACAGCCCCTGTTCGCAATTCAAAGAAAGCTCTTTAACTGTGCCTGCCTACTCCCAAGGCCGGACTTCATCCTGGATGATTAGTCCTTCTGTCTTGTGCACCTTGGGGGTCCTACCAGGTAGCGGCTTCTCCTCAACTTCTCGGAAGGGACCAGGTCTGAGTACCTGACAGCTTTCCGCCTGCTCTCTAAGGTGGTGGACGGAGATGGAGAATCAGGTTCTTACCACAAGCTGTCAGTCCCTCCACACTACAGTCCCTCAAAGCCCCAAATCACTGTATGGCCGTGTCTTACACAATCATTTTCAAATCTCAAGGAAAATTTGTGTTGCCATTCTTTTGGGGGCCTGACATTCATATTATCTCCTGCTGGACCTGGAGCCACATCTGATTTCTCTCAACCAGTTTCCTCTGTCTCAACCCTCCATTTTTCTCCTGCACTCCAAGTGTAGCAAGGCTGGCGAGGTGGGGGAACCACCGCCATGGTTCTATGTGACACAGAGATGGCCCGCATATATTCTTCCGTGGAATAACTGGCATGTGCAGTACAAGAAATATCAATACTCTTTAAATAATCACTCATTTCTGCAGTAGACTCAATTTTTAGGATTTACACATGGAGGAAACAAAATTATGTATAGATCTCATCTCCCTAAAATAGCAGAAAGGTCAGTTTTTTGTTTTGGTAAAAGGCCTGGCAGATGTCACTGACAAACTCTGCAATTTAAAGCAAGTTTGGCCTTTCTTTCAATATATGAGTGACAACAGAACAGCAAAAACAAACTTTAGTCCATTTTTCTCATCCCAGCAGGACAGCCGTTCCCCAGGAAAAAAATTACCATCATGAATCATCTGTAAAACACATAACCATTTTAACTGATTGAAATAAGTAGCATTCATGCTGAATGGGAGGTCACCCTGGATGCTTGAAATGGAAGAATATAAATGAGGAGGAAGCTAAGTCAGATCCCAGTTAGCATTAAAAAAAAAAAAAAATCATGGGGAAGAATGGATAAATAGAACTAATAAGTTCCCGAGGTCAATGTTTGAGGTTTCTTTGTAAATCTGAGTGATATAATTTTAGATCTAAATAGAAACCAACATATTGAAGATAAAAAACAAATCAATCAATTATAAAGCTCTGAAGACAAAAGCTCTCCACTTCGATTTGTATGATATAATATTTGGTTCGAAACACGTTAAAATTTCTTTACATTTAAAAAAAATCTCTTAATTTCTTACTTTATAATAATAAAAAAAAACCTAGTCTAAAGCTTATGCTCATCTAAATTAAGGCAACTAAAAGATAGAAAAATTTAGTTTATTTTTTTTTATAGCACTAAAGTAATATAGGGCTCCAATCCCATGAAATTATTGAGATTCAAAGTTACCATAGTTGAAAACACATTAGAGATTCTAAAGATCACTCTTTATTTGCTTTTTTGTTATTTTTAAAAATCTTTCTTTAATGAATTGGTAACCTATAAAATTTTTCATCTTGAATAGACCTTAAAAATCGCATCGGAGTCAGTTCATTCTTTTTAGAAATGAAGAAATTCACATTTAGAGAGCTTAAATGGGCTTAAAATGAAATTGATCCTCAAACACCTAATTCAGAGTCTGAGAATAATAATATCACAGCACACACACGGAGCCTTCCTTCACGTCTTTACTCTCTCCAGAATTCAGGCTATGTACCTATTGACCAAAATTAAGACAGGAAAAAGGATAACCATAATATACAAATACTGAAATATCAAAACCTATTAACACATGCAGTATCGACTTGCTCTCTCACAAAGCTTGAGGTTAAGTCAATTAACTGCCACTTTAAAGATATTTAAAATAATGACAGCGCTTTTCAGAAATGGTTAGAGCCCCCCAGCAATATCTAAGAAAATCACCACTCCGGGCTCCATCCAATATCAATCATTCTACACATAGCATGAGAGATAACAAAACTATTTTAAGCTCAGTCGTTGAATGTACCTCCCAGCCTTCGATGTGAGACTGCCATTCCTCCAATACTTCCAACTTCTCCATCTGTCTCTTGGCCTCATTTATGTTGGAGCAGACGGCCTTCATGGCTTGGAGGGCTTCCATGACTGCTGCGTAGTCACTGTGTTTCCTAGGCGTCCGCTTCAGCAACTCCTGTTTATACACAAAAAACAAATCGCCCTTTGATCTCCAGCTCTCTGGTACAGCAGGTTCAGGCTGACCAGGAAATGAAAACTGCAAAAGATCATGAGCGCCACTTTCAGAAGTGACATCACAAACTCCACGAAGATTAAGGTCAAAAACAAAAGGTTGAGTCCATGAATAAGCGTTGCCCTGATATATATTTAGCAGTCACTTTAATTTTTTTCCCACAAAACTACTGTGTTCTGAAAAACTAAATTAGAGTTCTCTTTTCAAATTGTCGAATATCTTACCTGCAGCATGTAATTTTTATAAGTTTGACGTTTGCTCCAACAGAAGTCCATCTTGATATGTTAATTTTATTTTCCTAGTCTTTAGCAGAATAGAAAATCTTTAAATGAATATGTCCCATAATTTCAAAAATAATTTTAAATGCCTTATTTTTAATCTTTCAAGAAACTGTAAAAACATTAATAAATAAAGCAGAACTTTTAAATAATCCCTTATCCGCTAGCAAAACAAATAATTTAGAAATTCCATAATACTCCATCAATAAAAGAGCAATTTCTGCTGTTTTTGCCAATAATTCGGGTGCATTCTCTGCAACGAATGAACTGTCATACTCCTCTCAATAGCTTTCTTTTCATTTTTGTTTTTTAGAATTTTTTTTTTTGGCTTTTTATATTTTTTTTCCATTCGGGATATCAGAACAAGAGTAATCTTTAATCTTTAAATATATTAAAAGGTCTTGTTAAGTTGTTTAGAAGCACAAAATTAAACATCTTCACCCACTGTCTAGACAGTTGTGACCACATTGCTTTTTAATTAGTCATTTGTTTTCTTACTACAGTTGCCATCATCATGTAACTAACACAATTACAGAAATCCCACTGCAAGTCTTTAAAAGAATTTTCTTAATTCTTAACATACAGTGGGAAAATATGCAGTTGTTATACTTCTTGAGGTCTGTGATTGCTGAAAAATTCTGCCATAAACTTTGACCCCGCGTTTGATATGTTCACACTCTATTCCACAGAGTGAGCCCACCCCTTCCCCCACCCAAAATATACATTATATCACTCCCAAGACAAAGTTTAACATTATGCTGGATCACAAATCCATAAATGAGGTATGCAGGCTTGTCCAGAAATTCTAAAGTGTAGAAATATTTGTAAATTATGTAAAAGGCTCAAGTCAGTCTGCAGGCTATGATTGGGGGCCCAAGGGGTATCTGAGGGTAAAGTCGAGACATGAATTTAGATAATGTGAAATAATGAGAGAAATAATAAGTAATCATCTTCTCTCGGTTGCCTGCTATGAACCCTGCGCTGACTGGCCAACCCAACAATTTCAAGTTCCACAAATAAGACCAACATACCTTTTCTTAACACATAGCCTAATCCCCTAATGTTTTTCTCTAAGTATATAAAACCATCCAAAATCAGAGAACATCAGCACAATTTTTCAGCTGATGGTACAACAAAGAAAAATATCAACACTAACATATTTATTACGCAATCAAGCAGTCCTTTCATGTTTCTTTGTGAAGATAATCTTCCAAGAAAGAGAAAAGATGAAGGTGCTCTGAATTGACCTCTTTCTTCCTTGATCCTCTTTTGAGGGGTCAGTTCAAACACCTGAGGTCATTCTTATCCGGAAACGAGTGATTGAGAACTACCACTTGGCATGATGTAGTTTTCTTAATATCACTGTCCTTTCTGACTCTTAAAACAAAGAAATCACTGGGATTCTGAAATCAGGGCCAGGAATAGCTGCCGTGATCAGTACACATGCAAATCTGAGTCAACAAGTCAGAAGTCTGAAGGGACTCTCAAAAAGACAGGAGTCAGTCACATTTGTACCAATTCTCTCAACCTGCTGACGATGTGCCAAAGCTCTGCAGAACTGGGGATCGCTGTGCTACCCAATCTCTACGGCTTAACCAAGTGACTTTGACTTGTTTTTCAAAGGGAGAGATCCTTTTCAAAGAAATTTACACAGAGACCCAATTTATGCAACTGACTTAAGTTGTAGTAAAAAGTATATTTTTAGTTCAAATCTATAACATTCATTTCTCAAAAAGTAAACCAATAACACCAGTTAATACACCTATAGAATTTCTGAGTATTTTTCTAAATTTAGATACCAAGTAGTAATTAATATATTAAAATAAATCAGATTCAAATATATAAATAATAATGGCTAACATTTATGGAGTACATACTATGCTAAATGATTTACATAAAATAGTTCCATCACTGATCATGCAATAATTTTTATACATGCATATATATGTATACACACAGATTGACATATACATATATGTACACATTCTTGTAGATATATGCTATAATTTCATCATCATCATCGCAATCATTGCTGCCACCACCACCACCATCACCATCGTCGCCCCTTCTGGTTCACAAGGCTTTAAGAAATTAGATTATGTGCCCAGTCAGGCAGCTGTAAGCAGACTACTTAGGATTTGAACTCGAAGCTCATATGCTCAACCACCAACCCAAACTGCCTATCCTGATGTAATAGTTCCTAAACACATCATTTCCAGAATCGCTATTCTAATTTATTCATAGACTTTTGTGATACTTAGTATTTCACAATATGTTTTCCATAATAAAAATGTTGGTCGTTTTAATGAGGTGACGGATCTACGATCATTAATGATGCATTTCCTGTCTTCCATGGGCAGTGGGCTCTTAGCACTGTTATTCCACATTCTATTATTTATTGTCCCATGCGACCCACATCATTCCCTATGCTAATGACTTAAAAACTAGGCTCTGAAATTATGTAACTTTGACCTTAACTTCATTAGCATCGAGAAGTCACCAATGTCAGGGGAAATAAAAAAATCTACCAACAGAGAGAATCTGTTAAAGAACTCTGTAGTTAAAGTGCTATATGATCCGGTCATAACGTATTTAATAGGATCTATCTTGAAACTAATGTATGTTTTCCACAAAGAACACTAAAAGTCTCTTTTCCCAAAAGATTTGTTTCCTGCTCCATACATAAATTAGTGACAAAATAGCCGTTCCCCCACCAATAACTACAATCTGCTGTTTCTTTAGAATGTCAGATTATTTTGAAAAAAAATTTTTTTTAAAAGACCATCAGCAAAATATGCAGGTACAAGGAAAATGTTGCCATGAAGTAAACATATAAACTACCTTCAGAAGAAGGGGGTACTTGCATATTCTTTGTATCGGGGTTACTAAATATCCTTCCAGGGGAACGTCTGTGTTCTTTCGTCCTCCAAGGAGCATGCAGTTCTGGAGAGGAAATAAACACAATTAATTATATTTTTAAACTTGAAGTTGTAAAGCTTTCTTCTATCATAAGATTTTCTACTGAAAAGTTGTGATAGCATGTCTCTGTATAGCTTCTTTCTCTGAGAAGATCACATTCAGTCACAAATAACATTTACAGGAGAGAAAGAAAAATACTTTTCCCTTTCATATTAGTTCCAGAAACCAAAATATGTTTTGAACCTATATCTTGAAAACTAACTCACATAGATGCTTCTGAATATGAACTCCGAGAAAAAAGACAGAAATAGAGATAAGGATGAAGGAATGAATGGATGGATAGATGGGTAGATGGATGGGTGGATGGTAGATGAATGGATGAATAAATAATAGACAGACAGACAGACAGACAGACAGACAGACAGACAGACAGACAGACAGACAGACACAGAGACCAAATCTGCTTATAAAGCGAGGCAGTGTTGTTTTGTAGAGGAACGGGCCCAAGACAGCTGGGTTCCATCCATGCTCTGCCACTGACTAGTGACGCAACTTGGATTAATTTCAGAATTCTAGTTTTCCTCTCTGTAAAATTGGCATATTTGCCCATTGTGATCTCTAAGTCACTTTTAGCTATAATACCTCACCAATGATACTGGCCAGCCAGTGTCAGAGAAGGAGGTCAGATATCTCCACAGAAATAAGATAAATGGAGAAAAATCAAAATCAGCAAGCTGAGTGAGATGAAATAGAAGCTTCTGTTTCCCAACAAGTGAAAGTCAAGAGAAAACCAACCCTGATAAATGAACCCTTGATCCTCTTGGCATCTAGTCTTGTTTTGTGGTTTAAGCATCAGTGCAACAAACAAACATTTGAAATTGATGCCAAGACCTGTTTCTGCAGTGCCTGTCAGAGCGACTGGCATAGAGGAAACAGTTAAACATTTAATGAAGGGAGCAAAGGGCCCCTCAAACATCGTGTTGATAATGTAGTAACTTTCCCACCACTATTTAAAAATATCGTCCTATATTCATTGAGAGGTGAGAACAAGTGCTGAGCAGGAAGGGATGCCGAAGGAAGGGTGACAGTAGCAGAATAGAACCCGAGCAGCTCAGCTTCGGCTCCAATTTGTGTACCTAAGTCAGCAAAACCAACACCCTGCCTTCAGCTCCATCCAGACACCTCAAAAGACAGAGCAGCAGATGCGTGCTGTGGCTCAGCAGGCTTTCGGAGGGTCCAGTCCCTATTGCAATCAGGTTATCAAAATACTCTTTCCAAGTCAGTATGGTATTCCCCAGAGGAATCCAATGAAGCATAGCTATCTACGTGTCATTGTAGTTCCAGTGACATTTCCATGTCCCACCCCATTACCTAGCTGTGAGCTAATGTGCCCTAAGGAACTCATGACTGTCTGACCCACTTTGATTTTCTTGTGTGTTAGTACTCTAGATTATGAACTCTTCGTAAGAGCAGAGGCTGGTTGCCACTTTAGACTGGCTTATGAGAGTCAGCTCTCTCCTATGTATACATGAAAAATGTTTTCTAAATCAGCCCTCAGAGAGTTCACTGCTCATACAAACTTACTGAGGTGGTGGCATATTCAAGTACCCAAAGTGATAATATCATCATCCCAAATCTGTAAACTCTGATATGTTTTTTGAAGGGTCTTATTATCTCCATTTTATGGATAACAAAAATGACACCAGAGATATAATGAATTTTTTAAAGTTTTGCAGATAACTAGTGGCCACTTAGTGCCAGGACAAGAACGATAAAAGCTAAGTTGCTCCTACCAGAGTGTGCTGTAGGATAATCTAAAAGCAAACAATTTTAACTTGTGACTTTTTCAGTGTGGTTTCACACGATTGAGTTGACAAAGTAGACCAAGGTGAACACGTAGTCAGTTCTGCTGAGAACAGAAGGCACTCAATAAGACAGGGTTCTAACACTTTATAAAGAACCCTAAAATGTCAGTGGCATAAGAGCTTCTGGCCCTGGCAGGGAGAAGAAAGCAGGAAATTGTCTTGGTAAAAAAACAAAGAATACTGGGCAAAATTGTCAAAACAACAATTTCAGGGCTCTAGAAATCAACCAAAGTCAAACGAAAAAAATCAGAAGTGTTTATTTATGAAAAACTGCAGAACTTCAGGTGAGACCAGCGGGAGTCTGTGGCATTCTTGCCTGGGCTTCTCCCTTCCTCCCCTCGCCCCGGCTTCCCCCAGCCTGGCCCAACTCATCCTGCATGGTGGCACTATCACGGTAGCTTTGATCCTCAAATCTGCTGCCAGAGGGGACTGTAGGGGGCAAAACTCTGACACCCAGGGGTGTTGTCAATAAAATCAACACACTCCATAGAGAAATGGGGAATGCTCACAGTTCGGCTAGACTGACACTGCCTTCTTGCTTGGGGCAAGTGTCGGACTGCACTTGCAGAGAAGAAATGAGGGGGCCCCATAAGAAAATCATCCTCTGAATGTGCCCTTCCCACAGACTCATACACACAGATCCATAGATAGGATGGATATCGACGTTTGATCACCTCTGACAAATTAGCAAGTGATTGTTAAGATAAGCAGTCACAGGAGTGACCCCTAAAAACAAAAGACTAAATTATAAAACAAAAAACTGAGCACAGATATCAGCAGCTGCCCATACAAGAGATATAGGTTCTCAGATTAGGTCCAAGTGAGTTACTAAAAACAAAACAAATAGAGAACAATAACTAACCTCAGAGAAATAGACTTGATAAGTTAAGATGCATTTTGTAGTCCCTAGAGCAATTACCAAAAAAAATAATAAAACCACCCTAAAATAATTTTAAAAATCAACAGAGGAAGAGAAACAGTACATTCAAAATATTTGTTTAACACAAAGATAAACAGTAAAAGAAGAGCAGAAGAACAAAAAAAAAATGAGATATATAGAAAAATGTAATAAAACAATACACGTCAATATAACCATATCTATATGACGTTAAAGCTAAATGAACTCAACACTCCAATCAAAAGGCAGAGAATGTCAGACTAGATAAAGAACTAGATCCAACTCTATGCTGTTCATCAGAGGCATGTTTTAGATTCAAAGTCATAAATTATAAATAAAATAATGGGAAAAGATGCAACATGCAAATAGTAAGAGAACTGTGACGGCGATAATAATATCAGGCAAAACAGACTTTAAGAAAAGAAATACTCCTAGGACCAAAGTGGGACACTTTATGATAAGTAGAAACAGAAACACAACAATTTTAAACGCATACACATCTAACAACAGAGCCCTGAAACAGAAAACAAAAACTGACCTAATTGAAGGTAAAAGAGACAATTTAATAATTATCCCTGGACATTTCAATATCCCTCCCACAATAACTGACAGAACACCCAGAGGAAATGATATAGAAATATGAACGACGCTATTAATAAAAATGACCTCACGTTTACAGAACACTATACCCAATAGCAGTAGAATGTACTTACTTTTTAAGAACACATGGAACATAAAGAAAAAATAATAAATTGCAGGACAGACCACGTGCTGGGTCAAAAAAAATTCTCAATGAATTTAAAAGGATTTAAGTATGTTTTCTCACCAGAATGGATTTAAATAAGAAACCAACAACAGGAAGAAATTTGGAAATTTTCAACATTGTGGAATAAAAATTTTTACTTGTTTAAACTATGATGATTCTAAGATTTTACCCTGCATGCAAGCTAAAAAGTGAACCTGCCACAGATTTATGGATACGGAAAGAACACATGAAATTCCTAGGGCACAGATGTAGTACAGTTTTGTTTTGTTTTTTTCCTCATAGCAATAGCAGTAGCCAGAGTGTGATTATTTTGGAGCTAGTTTCCCAAGCCCCAATTGCCACATGACAACACGGAGAGGGCCAGATGACACATGTATCACAAGAGAGAAGACCTGAGATTAGGAATATGAATCGTTCATAATGGCAGCAGAATATCTCTCTCTTTTGAGGCGGTTCGTGATACAAATATTACTTGAAAGATAGGCAGTCAATTCCTCAGCTCAGAAAATGTGCAAAAACACAAGAGGCCCATGGAGAACGGCCTCCAAAGACAAACTTCTAAATAAACAATGAATGAAAGAAATTACAAAGGAAACTAGAAATTTTAAAAACTAAATGAAAATGAAAACCCATGTCAAAATGTATGTAATGCCACTCAAGCTGTATATAGGTGAAATGCATAGCTTTAAAAACCTATATTAAAAAATGAAAACGAGCCATAATGAAAACTCTCAACAAACTATGAATACAATGGAATTTCATCAATCTTATATAGGACATCTATTTTTAAAAAGCCTACAGCTTACATCATACTTAATGATGAAAACTGAATGATCAGAAACAAGGCAGGTGAGTCTGTTCTCACCACTTCTAGTCAACATTGTTTGAGTTCTAGCCAGTGAAAAGTGAAGAAAAAAAAAACTACATTGAAGAGGAAAAATTGCCTTTACACTCAGATGACATGATCCTATATGCAAAATATCCTAAAGATTCTACAAAAAATACTTCTAGAATTAATACATGAATTTAAATCACAGGATACAAGACATTGTAAGACATAAGTATGCGAAAGTCAATCAAATTTCTATATACTAGTAATGGACAATCTAAAATTTCAGATAATTCCAATCACAATAGCAAAAAAAAAGAGTAAAAAGCTTAAGAATAAACTTAACAAAATAAATATAACACCTGAATACAGATATCTTAAACATGACAACAAAAGCACAATCATAATGGAAAAAATTTAATAAATTGAACTTCAACAAAATTTAAGACTTTTGATTTTCAAAAGATAATATTTTAAAATGAATACACAAACCATACTGGGAGGAAATATTTGCAAATTATATGTTGATATAGGAGTTGTATCCAAAATAAAGGTACAGTTTGAAATAAAAGAAACATTGAAATTTAAATATGAGCAAAATATTTGAAAAAGCATTTCACCAAAAAAAATATATGAATGGCTAATAAACACATGAAAGCATGCTTAAATTGGTCTTTAGAGGTAGAACTACACATCTGCTGGCATGGCTATAATCAGAGCTAACAATACCATGTGTTTTCAAAGATGCAGTCTTTACATGTTGCTGGTAGACATGGCACAGCCTCTCTGGCAGTTTCTTAAAAAGTTAATCATAAAGTTACTATGACTCAGCAATTCTAATCTTAGTATCTACCCAAGAGAATAAAAATATGGATCCATACAAAGACTTACACGTGAATGTTCATAACAGCATTATTTATACTAGCCCAAACCACACATTTCCTAACTTTTCTATACTAACAAATATCTCTCCCTGAAATGACCTTTTACATGTAGTATTTTTAAGGTCCACCATTTTCATGGTCACTTGTTGACCCAATGTTCATAAACTGGCAAATGGATAAACATAATATGGTATATCCATTCAGTGGAATATTATTGAGCAATAAAAATGAGTGGAATATGGATATAAATAAGGATGAACCTCAAAAACACTACTCAGTAAAAGCAGCCACGTATAAAAAGATTACGTTGAATAATTCCATTTACATGAAACCTCCAGAAAAGGCAAAACTACAGATACAGAAAGCAAATCAATGATTACCTGAAGCTAACAATGGGAGTGAAGATTGGCTATAAACAGGTATGAGGGGCTTTTGGGGGTAATGGAAGTATAATACTACTTGATCGTGGGGACGGCTGCTCCACTCCACGGTCTGCTAAATATTGAATTCTACACTTAGAGTGTGTTCCTTGCTGTCAGTTAAATTGTCCAAGTAACTGCCAAAATATGCATTTATTTGTGTTATCCTAAAGAAATTAAATATGCATTCTCGCTCTTAGGAAAATCGAATAGGAAAGTATGTAGGAGAAAGATCAATTTCTAAATGTCTTTTCTATCACACCCCTGATTTGTTTCCTTCCTGTTACTGCCCTGCTTACAGCTTTTTCAGCAGAAGTAAATGAAACCCTAGGGATTAAGGGATATAAAAGCAATGATGAACTCTGGCATAAATGTCCTCCCGCAATAGGAAGCTGTGGGTTTCAGAAACAATTCACCGTCAACCAGGAGAGGGCACTATCATTGTGTCCCCGTAGGCGAGCTTCTCCCAACTCTTACTTCCTACATTTATCTAAGGACTCCAGCTTCCTAGCCAGGACACGTTAAAAAGATTTGTCCCACAAGCAACTTCTACAACACACTGACGCTATCCCTCAGCTCCCAGTGGGCCTCTCAAAAATCACGGCATAAGGCAACACATAAATATATACTCACCAAAAGAAATGTCCGAATTGTTCTAATTTTGTTAAGTTCAAGAAGCAATTTTTGTGCCTTCTCATGGTTACTACAATATTCGTCGTAGATACGAAACTTGTCTTTCTGTGAATTCAAGTAAAAATAAGTTAAGGTCATTTTATTAGCCATTTCAAAATATTAACCTGTGTGATGTTTATGAATAAACTTTATTAAGTGTTTACTATGTTTCAAGAGCTATACTGTGTGTATGTATAAATACATTTTATTATGTATTCTCCCTGATCCATGAAAGCTAGCCTAGGAAAGGAGACAGGCATATTAATTATAGTCTAATGTGATGTGGGCAATGGGTAAATGAACCAATTTACAGAGAAGGTAATTCCTACTTTGCTAAGAGGATTCACATACAGCTTCTAAAAGGAAGTAATATCTAAGCAAGGCCCAGAAAGATGAATCCATGATTCCCAGGCAGGAAGGGAAAGAGATGATTTTAGCTAGAGGAAAAAGCATGTGCCAGTTGACACAGAAAAAGAGAAACACAGTACCCTGCATTTCGTAGGTACCGACCCGGGCCGTTGTCTTTAAGAGGGACCTTGACAAACTAGAGAATATTCAGCAACAAGTGACTAAGATAATAAGACACTACATGTGGGAGGTCATTTCAGAAAGAGTTATTTGTTAGTATATAAAAGAAAGTGGTAGCTGCATTTAAATAGCTGTCATATCATAAAGGATTTACACGTTTATGTAGCTCCAAAACACAAACCAGGACCACTATGTGGAAATTGCAAGGGAGTAATGGACGGTGACATGCAGATCTGGGATTAATACAAAAATTTTCAAACAATTAGAGCTGTCACTAAAAGTGATCATGTAAAAACAAAATAAACAACCTTCATAACTGCTATGGAATAAATACTTTCACAAAAGGAGGAATTTTACCATCATGATCTCTAAGCTTCCTTCCATCTGTAAGATTTTCTCCAAGTGGTTATGATCAATATCTATCCAAGTAGTACCAATAAAAGAAGAAGATGTGGAAAACGTATTGATCCAATGTTAGAACCCTGAAACTTTAAGGACATGCGTCTAGAAAGAAACACAGAGTGCTATTTTCCTTAGCCAGCCAGCAGGACATGTATCGAATTACTTATTTCAAGAGATGGTATGAACCAGAATAAAACAAACTTCAGAAATAGTTTAGCTAAATTCACGGATGACAGATTGATAGCGTGTTACTGAGGAAATGAACGTCGGGGTGGAAGATTCCCATGTGTAGCCTTGAACCGAGATAGCAGCTACTCCAGCTGGCAGAACACTTGAATTCTCTCACGAAAGAGAGCGGTCTGGGCGAAGGGGACACAAACATGCCTGGCTTCCATTCGTACCCGAGGAAGACACAGCGTCACCTTCCTATACCCGAGGAGCCTCTCCCTTTATCTTTATGAAATAGTTTCTGGTTATAACAATAACATCTACCGAGTCTGCTCGCTACATATAGAAATACAGATCTAGAAAGTACATACAGTTACCTTTATACAAGACTAAATAGAAATAAAAATAAAACTTGACTTCCATGACAAAATACTCTTACACACTTTTAATAAAACATTGATTGTATAGCATTTTGATACATATGGATTCATATGAGTATTCTGAAAATTAGCATCAGGTGAAT